CACATCTCCAACTTGTCATTGTGTTCCTCACGAGTCTCGTTGATCAATACAATATCGTCAACAAAATGTATGCACCAAGGAATAATAAATAAAGCAATGAAAAAAGTGATTATAAACTTTGATTGATTTTGTGGTCATCTATTATGGTGCATAGGAAGAAGTTTGTCTATACACTTATTTTCTTGATCAAAACTAGTTAGTCATTTTATTTTGATGTAAATCTAATATTAATAATTTTTAAAAACATAATTTTGAAATATTAACTTCCTTAAATTGTATTTATGTATAAGTATTGATAATAATGTTTAAAATATTATTACCGTGAAAGTCAATTAAAAATTTAACTATGGCGAAATTGTCATTTAAAAAAAACTTGGGTGAAACTGTCATTTAAAAACATAACTCCTACTTATATCCAAAAATCTCCATGGTTCTATTTTGGGCATTAAGAATTCACTTTTCTCCTATTAGTTTCCTTTATGCTTTGTAATAATACTTTCCACCTATATTAATCGCCTCACTTTCCTTTTCATTGAGTCTAACCAATTTTTTTCTATTTTCTTAATAAAATAAAGAATATGATATCCATAATTTTTTTAATAAAATAAAGAATATGATATCCATAAATTTTATATTTTGTTTTAAATTTGGTGAGGTTAAAGACTGAAACTGAGACAATAAATTATACTCCCTCCGTTCACAAATAAATTTTACGTTCACTATTCACAGGGTCAAACTTTATTCATTTTGTTGGCCTATTTCCGTCACCCATTTGATAAAATAATATAGTCATGTCACCTCTAGTTTTGTAGATCTTTTGATATAGTTTTTTTAATATGTAATTTTTATGTTTAATTCTACACCATTTTTTCATATAAAATAATTTTGAAAATAACTTCAGTCAAACATCGTAACGCATAATGTAAAATTTAATTTTGGACGGAGGGAGTAAATTCGGAACCAGAGTAATAAAATAGGATAAAGCTACTTGTACTCCAACTTTTTGTACTCCAATTTGTATCCCGCAGTTTCGCACCAACATTTTGTATTGGTGTAAAACTAATTTTTGTTAACGCACTAACACTTTGTGTCTGTGTAAATTTTTGTTAATGCACCAACATTTGTGTCGGTGTAAACCATCAAAATGTTTGTGCATAACTACGGTGTACAAATGAGATACATTTTTTTGTGTAAATGTAGCATGGTCAAATAAAATAACATATGGGGGTAAATCTCAGCGACAAAACGGCCCTCCAGGCTGCCAGCTCTCTGATACGTCTGGACTGCAGTTTCGAGTCTGGACCCCATCCTTCTTCCTTCTTGGATCATAATTCCGCATGCACACACATACATGTATGTGACACAGAGTACCCCACATGAATCCATTTCTTGAAACTTGATCATCGGATCATCAATGGCGGGTCTCTTCACAACACTGCGACGACTGAGAGCAAGACCCACCGCCGCCGCATGGCTTTCTCCATCTCCGTCGTCTCCCAACGCCTTGGCTTCCCGCCTTCTCTTTTGGCTCACTGTTCTCTCATTGTCTCTGGCGGCCTTCGCATTCGTCTTGCAATGGCGGGGCGGGTTGCCCGACCCGACCACCCACCGGTTGCCCTCCGACGATCTCCGACCACCCCATCTCCCTTCCTCCTCCTCTGATTGCGCCGGTATTCTCTCCAAGTCCCGAACGTTGTCGTTTCCATACTTCAGGGATTGGAAATTCAATTTCGGGTCATCATCTTCCGGGTCGGATATTCGCCCCAGGGTCGGTTTCTGCAACTTTCTTGATCCGATTCATTTTGACCTTGTTTGGGTTTCGATGCTTTTACCCCAAATCACGTGCTATATGCATATGCAGTTTGTCTGCATACAGAAATTCTATATCACTTTACTGTTTCTCTAGGGATCATATATACTTCTTGACATTAAAAGTTTTCTTTTTTGACAGACTGTTAAAAAGGACTTTTTCAATTCTTTTTTTTGGCAGATTCTTTTTCTTCTTAAAATACAAATATTTTTATATTCTGAAATCTCTGGGACCATTATTTTGTCATACAAATATTTTGATTTTTTTCCTTTGCTTTGTTGTAAGATATGCATCACTTCAACTACTTCTGCTGGCTTGGAGCAAACACTGCCATGGATATATTATCACAAAGTTATTGGTATTGCAAGGTTTTTCATGTTTGTGGAGGGTAAAGCCGCTTCCCCTCACATGTCGAAGGTCCTTGAATCGATCCCGGTTAGCAAGTGTTATATTTTATCGAATCGTCTGTCCAATATAATCTTCCATGTTAATCTTGTTGTATTTTGTTGAGGACAACTTTGAATCAGTATTGTTCCACTGTTTTCTGCAGGGGGTAAGTGTCATATATAGAACAAGAGAATTAGAGGCACGGCAAGAGAAAAGGTTCAATCTCATTCTTCCAATGTTCCTCTGTATTTTGGACATATTTTCTATTGCTATTAAGGGCTAACACAACAGGTTTAGAGTCTCTTCTGCTAGCTAAGAGTGTCTTATTGTGTAGCCATACTGGTCAAAGAAACCTTACAAAACGGGCTCTTAATGTATTCAATCATATGAGTTTTCTTCATAATAAAGATGCATGGTGTGTTCCATGGTCTATGCTCTTTTTTTTTTTTTGTAAAAATAACGGGAATATGCTTTGTGTTGGTTTTAGCCGGATTTGGAATGAAACCTGGCTGTCGAACTTTTTCTTCAAACCTTGCAACTATGAGCTATTTGTCAAGCAGTCCCTTAACATGGAAATGGGGATTGAAATGGCTAGGGTATGAAATTCTTCTTTTTAAAAGTTATTAATACTGCTGCTCCATTTGATCTTGAGTTGGTACTTATATTGAAATCTTTCCCTTGAAAAATCATTTAAAAAAGGAGGCCGGCATGGATTGGATTTTTCATTTGGACACTGATGAGCTAATATATCCAGCTGGAACGCGTGAATTCTCTGTGAGAGAGCTCCTATCAGACATTCCTCCTCATGCTGATATGGTTGTGTTTCCTAATTATGTAAGTAGTAATTAATTACCTATGTGAAAAGAAGTGGCTCTTCTTGTGGTTGGGTTAACAAGAAGCTGATGATATAAACTGTTTCAGGAGAGCAGCGTTGAGAGGGACAACATAAAGGAACCGTTTAGTGAAGTAAGATTTTTTCTTTTCTTTCTTTCTTTCTTTATGCATCGAGTTTCGTTTTGAACATTTTGTTATTAGTTTTAACTGCTTTGGGGGTGTGTTCCTCCACCACAGGTATCAATGTTCAAGAAGAGTTTTGACCACCTCACTAAAGAAACTTACTTTGGAAACTACAAGGAAGCTACCCGTGGCAACCCAAATTACTTTTTGACATATGGAAATGGGAAATCAGCTGCCCGTATAAAGGATCATCTTCGTCCCAATGGTGCTCACAGATGGCACAACTATATGAACAGTCCCTCGTACGTTCATTCGATTCTTGAGATTGTTTTTTTACTTTCTTTTCTTTTTCTCGGAGTGTAAAGAGGGTTTTCATTGGTCTTGTTGCAGTGAGGTGAAATCGGATGAAGGAGCTGTTCTGCACTACACATATCCCAAGTTCTCAGATTTGACGTCAAGGCGTGATCGCTGTGGTTGTAAGCCTACCAAGGAGGATGTTAAAAGATGCTTCATGCTTGAGTTTGACAGAGATGTGAGTTATAATGTAGACCATTAAATTAAGGGCACGTTTGGTTGAAGCCGAAGGGGGGCTTTTAATGTTACATTGTTCAACTTTTATATGCAATTATGCATAGTACACCTCCCCTCCATCCAAACACACCCTAAAGTTTTCTGATTTTCAGTGATCATTGTGTTCTTTTTTGGGAATGTTATCACAGGCATTTATAATAGCTTCAACTGCAACAGAAGAGGAAATGCTTCTCTGGTACAATGCACACGTAGTTTGGAACGAAGACGCACTAAAGCAGAAACTTTTGAGGAATGGGATGTTGGTGCGGATATACGCTCCCATGATTATAATTCAGAACCTGAGAGAGTCTGGGGTTTTCACTTCTGTCATTGCCGGAGCCCATGGAAGAAGAGGAGGAGAGAGTTTGAGAGGAGAGTCTTTGCTCTCAACCGAGAACAAGATGATGAATTCGTCTGGACTTTCTTCCAGGAAAATGGGACATAGTTCCGAAGCTCAAACCGTTGCAAGGAAGGCCATGTCTTTGGGAGAACAATCCGAATCTGAATCTGAATCTCGTGCAATTCCACCCCTATCACCTCCTACCATATAAGCTAGCCTCCTAGTGTTTACATTGGAAAAGAAAATTTATACTAGAATGAACTTAACACTGAAGATGTGTGTACATTTAGAGATTTTACAGGCTTAGATTAGTGTTAGTGTTGAGAGGTATAGACAAATTTTTCTTTGAAATTTGAATCCAAACAATTTGCACTTATTCTAGTGGAGGACTTATTAATGAGTATAAACTCAAAATTGACTAAGCCAAACCAATTCAATCCACTCTACTAAAGTTAATGATACTCCACCTTTGCCCATCTCTTTCCCAATGGACTTTAATGCCCTTGAAATGACTTTTGGCCCTTTGGCAGCAAGCCAGCAACTCAATTTGCACTTACAATTGACAAAGATATTTAATGTGTTATATTCACACAGCTGAATTTGTGTTCCTGTACTCTCTGTTTGGTATAGAGAATTCACGCCGTAAAATTGGAATTTGAGATTTCTATTCAAATTCTGAAAATTGGAATTTGAGATTTCTATTCAAATTCTGGTGTTTGGTAGCACAAAAATATATGAATTTGGAATTGGTAGTGCTTTAAATGAATTGGAATTGGAGAACTCAATTCCATGAGATTCAATTCTATAGAATTTCAATTCCAATTCCGTCAATTCTGTATACCAAATGGATCCGGATAGTTTTTGAATGAAAACAGTAGAAGTGAGAGACCAAATGTGCAAGAAATAGTGTCAAATACTTCGTATATGAATGTAGCATTAGTATCCATCTCTTTAGTAATTCCCTCATGCATATTTTTAGGAATGAGGTAAAACGTACTCTTACCAAGAGAAACTCCAAATTCCAAAATAGCTCACCCCTGCTGGACTTTTACATGTAAGCCCACAGCATTCAAGCAACATTTTTGGTCAACATTTTCTCTCATAAACAGAAGAAATACAACTAAAATGTTTTTTTTTTCTTTTCATCATATCGTTTTTGTGAAGAACAAGTTTTTTCTTAACACTGCTTCATACATTTGGACATGAACAAGGCTAGTTACAAGTGTGGGCACCTATATACCTTGCTCTATACACAACAGCAAAGGAAACAACACACTAAAGACAACTGAGTAACCACATCAGAGGTGCCGACCGCAAATGTTAAAATACTCAGCGAGGCTGGTGGATGATGCGAGTGTTCCATTTGGGGCTAACGGTCTTTGCGGGCTTCTCATAGTACTTCGGTGCCTCAAATGTCGATTTGAACTCCCTCCCATTTGGAAAGCTCAGACTCCTTAGCAATGACTGCTTTGATAAACCTGGCAAAATAAAGAATATATGCATATCTTTACTTACCTAAAAGCATCATGGGTCAGAATCAGACCTTAAAAACAAAAGAATTTATGTATACCTGACGAATCTGGCATGGGCATGGAACCAGCGAGAGATGCCATCTGCTCCCTTGCAATTGATTGGAGAAATTCTTCATACTGAGCTTCCATGTTCAAGACATCCTCATCAACATCAACATCAATGGTCTCTGGCAACAGAGAGACAACATCATCGTCATTCAGAGCTTCACCATATCTCGTCCCATCCTCCTGCTGCTGGCTGAGCCAATAGTCATGGAACCATGTTGCAGAGTTCATCAAGTTCCACCATTCCGGTGAGAAATCCTCCAACGCACGCACAGAAGCAGGAACAAACAAGGGCGCATTTGGGTTCAGTCCTGACCTTCCTCCAGACACTAACGCCATCCTTCCTTTCTCAAATGGTTATCTGAAGTCATTTATACAGTTACGAATTTCAACTCACTTCTTGTAGATCCAATCAACAGCCATGAAATGGTATTTGATTCGATTACTTTTTAAAAAATCAGCCCCAACATGATCAACAAAAAAGAAGATGCACAACATAAATAGGCACTTCAGCAAGCATATAAAACAGCATAGGATCTAGAAATACTCAGTATAGCAACCACAGAAGATTTTAGCAATTTTAATGTATACCTACACCTAAAAACTAGAAAAACGTGATTGAAGCATGCAAATGACTTCGGCTGGGATTTGCTGCAAGCAATTAATTCAAAACATGATGAGAACTCAAGTCAACGCCAAAGTAGGCTGCATTAATACTTGATCAAGTGACTTTGAAAGAGGAAGCAAAGGTAAAATCTCCGTAGTATCATAAATTTAAACCATAGACGGAAACCGCAATAGCACAGAAGATCAGAACGAGCAATCCGCGATAACTCATCCAATAGAACGCATAAACGCAAAACAAAACAGTAGCATACATCAATCAGCCATTTCAAGAGAAATATTCATCGGATCCGTCTACCAGACAAAACAAATTGAATCGAAAATGCAGATCCTCAAGAAGGACGACTGATCATGAAAAAAATCTTACCTCTGATCCAAAATATCTGCTCCGTCTGCGATAAGAACCTGCTGCTTAAAACCTCCTCTATTGGTCGAGGAACGTATTTATAGACAGGAGAACCGAAGCTTCGAGGTTCGGCTCCAAGGCTATGCTTCGGAACTGACCAAATCCATTTATCGGAGAAGACTGATCACAAGACTCCAATGCCAAAGGGTCCAAGTTGGCCAACTGGCTGATATGTTTCGATTTGGTTGAAAATTGGCTGAATCAATTTAATGGGTAGGTGAAAATGATTGATTGCTGGTTAGCTGGGAAGGGGAGTAGTACTACGGATAGGGATATGCTAGCGGCAGCTGTACTCCAAATGTACATCATTCCTTTTTTTTACCATTCATTTTATTTTATTTTTAATTTTTATTTTATTTTTTTGAATTTTTATTGCTTTTTGTGTGGTGATGGAGGGGGTGGGGATGTTTGGGGTACACTTTTAGGGGGTGTATTGTATAAGGATTCTTATTCATTTAAATAGAAATCAATGGAATTTAAAAGTCTCGGTATATTCAATTGTAACTTTTTAAAATCTATAAAAATCTAGATGTATTCGATTAGGATTTTAAAAAGACATTATAAATTCAACGAAAGTCTAGCGGTTTTCAAAATGGACTTTTAAAATTGAAAAAAAATCTTGAAGTATTCAAAATAATATTAAACCCATGGATTTAATAAAATCATTCATATATGAAGATATTTTACTCCAGGACTATATATACTCTTTTTCCATTCTTTTCTTTACGCAGGAGCTGGTATTCTTTGTAGACTTTTTTACGCAAGAGCCCTAGGTCCGCCGTCCAAGTCTCTTCTTCCTCAACTGCCGAACAGCTTGCAAGACAGCTCCGTCCAGTAAGATTTTCATGCTTTTGAGATTCAGACCTTAATTGCTTGCTTTTTCGTTTGATTTCGTTTAGTCGTTTTTGTCGGATTCCATGTGATTTTCTTCTATGAACCATTGATTATCGTGTAGCAACCCGGAATTCGAGTAAAAGAAATTCCTCATCAGTTAGAAATTTGGAACTGCGCCCTTTACAAAAATTCTTCATTCGATTTTTTTATTTGACAAGTGAGAAATTTGGGACAATTGATCCCCCAAGCAAATATGGGTATTAGTCTTGAATCGGGTTTAACCCTATAAAAATTTGAGTAAATTATGTGTTGAATAATTATGTGAAAGCAGCGAAAAATGGTGCATAGCTAGTATAAAATACAGAGTATTCACTTTTTAGTTTTTTTAGCTCCTTTGTACTTTAAAGGGTTAATTGGATGGGTTTCAATGATGGCTCAGGATATCCACTTGGATCAATATGACAGTAAAAATGAATTGGCCTGGCCTGCATAACTGACTTGGCAATTACACTAGTATTTGTGAAATAAAACATGTAAAGAAAATGGTAGGGATGAGAGATAGTCTCTCTACAGTCTTCTTTTTTCTTGGTAGGGTGGTTGTTCAAACTCTACCAATGCACGGGAGTTGTTCAATCTTCGACATTCTTCCTTAAGAAATGTAATTGAGCGAATATTTGGAGTATTCAAGTCACGATTCACAATATTCAAAACAGCACCACCATTTTCATACAAGACACAAAAAGAACTTGTTTTAGCGTGTGCGGGACTACACAATTTTTTACGACGTGAGTGTCGTTCAGATGAATTTCCTCCCGCTCCGGATGAAGACACAACAAATAAAACAGATGAGAGTTTTGAATGGGATGATACTCAGACACAAGATCAACAACGAGAGAAAGCTAACGAATGGAGATTGAATCTTGCAAATCATATGTGGCAACAACTAATAGTGAAAATAGTTAATTCGTTACTTTAATTATTTTACAACTAGATTTGTTTTCATTTTTTTTGCAACATTTGATTGAGATGATAAATTTAATACAATGCAATGTTTTCCATCTATTTTATTAGCATACTTACTTTTACCCTGTATGCTCGGTTAAATTTTATTTTTAAATTCAAATTTGATAAATTTTGATCATTAATTAAATTAAATTTACATTATCAATTAGTATTAAAAATAATACAATTAGAATTGTCTTGTAAAAAATATTTTAAATTTTTTTTCCAGTTTATTATATATATATATATACACACACACATATATATATATATATGTATATATATGTATATGTATATGTATATGTATATGTATATGTATATGTATATGTATATGTATATGTATATGTATGTATGTATGCATGTATGTATGTATATATACGAAATATGTATTCCATTAATATAAAATTTATTTTGTCATTAATTGAAAATTAAAAGTAATCTTATTTGAGTGTAAAAAATAATGTTGGACGAACATACTTGGATGGTGGAAATGAAATCTATAAAATTATTCAAATAAAAGTCCATAGACTTGTTAAAATCCATAGAAATTATTTATATAAAATCAATGACTTTTAAAATATCAATAGAAGTCTATGACTTTCAACACAAGTCCATTGACATGAATAGAAGTCATTGATTTTAAAAATATGAATACAATTCCTTATACAATACACCCCCCTTAGTGTACCCCTAGCATTTTCCCTACGGATAACCACAAGAAATATTAGCGCTTTTTGTTTGACTTTCTTTTTCTGATTAAATTGAATGAGTAATTCTAGATTTATACTACCCATCTCAGTGTATTTGTCCAATTTGATTTTTTCGAGTCAAACTAGACAAACTTTGAAGTCCAATTACTCTCATTTTATATTGCATATTAGCATAATGAAATACAATTTTGAAAGTTTTCAATACGATAAATCTAATAAAGTCATTTTTATGTTAAAATACATTACGGTTTTTATTTAATTGAAGCTCAAAGTTTGTCTAATTTGACTCGAAAAAGTCAAACTGGACAAATACACTGGGACGGAGGAAGTACTATGTAATGTTCCCTATTTATTAGATGCTTCATTTTAATTTCAATTCTTTCATAAAATAAATAATGTTAATTACTTTACCCGTGCCATACACGAGAATATAATTCCTCCATAGTTATAAATTGAAATTAGGGATTTTTATAAAATACTCCGTAAAAAGTATTGTATAATAAATTATATTAAAAATTGTAGTTTAGCGAAAATCAAATAGACGGCTTTTTATTCAAAAATTTGAAAAAACTATTTACAAACTATATTTGTGGTCTCAAATTCTGGTTTATTTTTATCTTTAGATATTGTTGGACAATGTGCTATCATGAATATGTATTTTTGCAATGTCCTTTGCCCATTGTCTTTTAGGTTTTGATAATGACAAAAGGGTGACAAAACATCATCATCATTTTGTGCATCAAGGCTAAGAATCAAAGTTACAACAAGTTCATATCCGTCCGTGAAGAAGGGACTTGAGCATCGGTGGAAGGAACGAGACCGAAGATGTTGTTTCCTTAGTTGGGTAGTGTTTTAGGTCTTAGATTATGTGTTAAAGAGTATGGCATCTCTAAGGTTCATTCCCTTATCATCTTACCTTTAAAACTCATTTTAGATCAGCCTTTGTGTGGGGAAGTTGCCTTTCTATTCGAATAATCTTTAGTTTATTCGAATAAGTCGTGATCTTTCCTGTTGCTGAAATCAACCTGATTTATTCGAATAAATCACCACTTATTCGAATAAGTCCTGGTTTTTCAACCTGATTTATTCGAATAGGAACTGGTTTTTTCAAGCCACGCGATTGATCCAAACTATTCGAATAGTTCTTGAGTTATTCGAATAAGTCGACAGTTTCAACTACCAAACGGCTAGTTTTTTGAATC